AAAGGAAGGCGGTGAATTAGCGTTCTGAAAATTAAAGCACGGCCTGGCAGAAGCCGCACGTTGTTGATGCGTCGAGTGCGGTACTTGCCGAAAAACGTGGAGTCGGGGGGGGGGGGGGAAAGCCACGCAAACCAATTAAGCCTGATTACCGTCATTAGGGCCCCCAGAAGACGATCGGGAAACGCGAGGCCACTTTTCCCTCCGAACATATTTTCCCCGTTCTTCTCCTGCTAAAAACTTTGCAACGGGTAAAAAAATATAAAACTCAAATCCGCTGTGCGTTTTTTTTCCAATCTCAGAATACGACGAGTTTCTCAAAAGTAACGATAAATTCAAACTTAATGCCCGATGGGGGGAGAGGGGATACATCTAGTAATCCAAGATATTCTTTTATTCATGTACTGTACTCCTCTTCTCGGCATTTTGAATTTAATACGCAATTTTTATACAGTACTTCAAAGTAATGAGTCACACAATATCTGCTCCAATTTTTGATAACCTTCTCCGAGACGGATATTTAAAAAATTCGAGTCTTCAAAATCCACAGGGAGACAATTTGAACGAGGTGCAATTGCTAAAAAAATTATTCGTAAATATGATACTGTAGTAATAAATCAAGGGATTAATTTACTGATTAATATCTTGATAAAATTATTTTTTGATAAACTGCAGATGCTTCCATTTTTTGCGAGCATTCTTAAGTTCGACTCAGAAAATTTGCAAGATTCTGCTCAGACTGCTTTAGGATTTCTCAAGCATCCAACACATTGATGATCAGTATGTCATATTCATGAGAGCTACTTTTGTTGAAAATTCCTGATGCTCCCAGTTAAATCAGCAAAATAAAACCTCCAAAAATCGCCAAAATTATGAGCTCTGAAGGATGTAAAGCAAGACAAAATCAAAGCATGTGCTGATTCCTGGCCAATATTCTAGCTTGCGTTATTAAAAAGTAAGGGTTTTCTTCCAAAATTATTTCCTAGATAATGAATTCAAAATTTCTTCTAAAGGCAAAAATAAAATAAAAAGTATCGCTCAAGAAGGTTTTTTTACAGAACGAGCAGTGACTACTGTCTTAAATAAATACTTGGGAAGCGTAGTAGTAAGAAAAGTCAAAGGAGGAAGAAGGCGCACCGGTCCAATAAACTTTTAGATGTGTGGGAAATCCCGAACCGCAAGTACCTCCAAGGGAGTACTTGACAAGAGCCCTGGACTTTTTCAAAGTACTTCGCAATGCGCAAACCACAAACGCCTCGGCACGGAAGGCGAAGATTCTTCGTGCCGACGTTTCAGGCCAATCCATAATAAAGTCCCGACAATCATCTCGTGTTTTAAAACAACAAAAAATGAAACCCGAGTTTGTCAACAGAGAAATGAAAAAAAATTTTCGGATATAAAAAAAAGACCCACCAATATAACCGAAGCTCAACAAACTTTCATGCATTGAAAAGGAAGAAATCCGAAGGGAAAGTTTATTTAGCAATTAATACGAATATCTTCATACAACTGCAATTTTTTGACACACAAGATCTACTCCTGTCTGATTGCCAAACAAACAAAGTCAGTAAAATACTTTCTGCTTCTTGGCGATTCCAGAACACTTGTCATCAATTTTGGTCCAAGAATTTAAGCATTCCACAAATTCGATTTTTCTCTCCTCAAATTTCAAATTGCCACATCTGAATCGTCGACACCATTCGCAAATTACGGATCACTAGTAATCTAAAAAAACATATTTTTTGCACACAGTTGCACTTCTCACCTCGCAGGAAATAATTCAAATTAAATAAATCCTGATATCAAGCACTGATGGAAGGGTTAATGGGAAAAGAGCCGACGTCCGATTTTTTTTTCTTTCCTTTTGACGCAAATGGTGGCGAAATTCCGGCGAGTGGATAATTATAAAAACAGGAAATGATCCAGATGATCCTTCGAAATGATCTCAGAATCGAAACCAGGACTTTTCAATCGGCAGTGCACTCTTTCCTTTTGACGCAAATGGTGGCGAAATTCGGGCGAGTGGATAATTATAAAAACAGGAAATGATCCAGATGATCCTTCGAAATGATCTCAGAATCGAAACCAGGACTTTTCAATCGGCAGTGCACAAATCATTGGAGGTACTTGGGTCACTTTCTAAGTTTACACTCTCTAAGTTGAATTTCATGGGACCTGCAAGAAAATCGACTTACGGAGGTTTTGAATGATACAGGTTTGAACTACAATACAAAGCTTTTTTTTTCAGGGAAACTTAGAAAAAATGTAAATGGTTATATTCTGGTGCTTAAATGGCTTTTTAAAGGAGTTGAAAGGCTTCTGAATTTTAAGGCAGGGGTTCATTTGCCCAATTAAGTCTTTCACTTCCTTCAAAACAAATGAATTTTTATTGCATTTTTTTCTTTCTGGGTCAAGAAAATAATGGCCAACAGGCCACAGAAAATTTGACTTATGGAGGTTTGAAGGGAAACGCTTTTGACATAGGGATGTTTTTAATGTGTTGTTTCTAAGAGGATTCTCAGATGGGGACTTGAAAAAAAAAATTTGACTTGGTGAGGTTCGAGTTATCAAGGTTCACCTGAAGTTGAATAAACGGTTAGATAATAAATTCGCAAAAGAAATATGCCAAAGAATGGAGGCAGGCAAACAAAAACGACGAATCGACTCGCACATTGCACGAAGAGCAAACGCAAGAACATCACAGACGAGGTGGTGGAAGTGAAACTGAAATGCGGCCCCTTTTTCCTAATGAAGATTGGTTCGTCGTCAGTCCGGGGGATAACGCACCAAGGAAATTCCACAAATTGTTCCCCCCCCCCCTCTCTCTTATTTTATATCTTTGTTCCATGGAGCCCCGTTGTTTTTGTGGTCTGGGTATCTCGGGGAAAAATAAAGAGAGGGAGAGAGAGAGAGAGAGAGAGCGGAAATGGAGGCCCCCGGAAATGAATGACGGACGATTCGCGCGGCGCGGAAATAACGGGTTCTGGTTTGTGTCACCCCTCGTCGACCCCGGGCATCAACTCGTCTCTCTCGTCTGGCCGCTCCTCGTCCTTCCCACATTCTCTCGTGTGCCGTTTTTTTCAAAGGAGGTCCACTGCTTCTCTTTATTTGTTTTCTCTCTTTCTCTTATTCTTCTTCATCATCTTCCTCTCTTATACACATAATTAATGCATATCCCCCCATTCATTTCTTTTCTTTCGACTAACGCCGATTGGAAAGCCAATTTCCCGAGCGACTTCCGCTAACTGAATCAGAAGCTCATTTTGATGCATGCGATGAACTGGGAAGAGCGCGGGGGTCAACTGAGCGTTTGACACAATTGAGCAATGGGGTAATCAACAGCTTTTTTTATATTTTCACAGGTTCTCAATGGAGATCCTCGACGGATTTTAATTACTGTACAAATAATTTAATTAATTTAATTTAATTAATTTAATTACAAGTTTAATAACAAATAATAAAAGAGGAAGTGAGGACCGGTTAAAGATCCAGAACAAAGGCCTAAAAAAAAGATAGGGAATGACTTTGCAGTCCGAAATCAAAAATAGACAGCATACGTACGAAATGTTTGTTTGTCATTTCGATACCTTAAAATATTTATTTGCGAGAAATAGGATAGTTGTAATAAAGTCAGCCAAGAAGATCCATTTCAACGGGGTTTCGCCAAAGAAATACACTTGGTCTCAAAACGGAAATTCGCAATCAAATGGATATTTCCTTAATTATACACCCGACTGAAATAATTTCAACAAATATTTGCTGCACAACATACGAAGGTGAGCAAGAGACACTTTTTCACATTTGCCAAGAGATCCTCACAGCTATCTTCCCATTTTTTTTCATGGGAATTTATCTTTGAATTTCGGAAGTGTTTTCAATTTATTTTGAGAAAGCAATTGTTTGAATTGCAAATAGAAGAAGAAAAAAACTCACCCAATGGGAAGACATGATGGAGACGTCGGCCGGATTCTCCGTCCACAGCTCTGTTCCGACGGAGACACTCGTTTTTAATCGTTTCCGTCTGCAAAATTGTGAAAAAATAATTAGCACAAAGAAGTGTTATTGAAAAATCAGGTGAAAATGTCAGCAATATCACAAAAGTCCGGAAATTTGATTCAAAATTCATCGACACGATAAAGGAAGTCAATTTTCTATGCAAATTCGAAAACTTTCCGATTTAAAAAAAAAAAAAACCTTTCGGCAGAATTTTATGGATACTTCACAATCGCGATTTTAGACCCTTGCATTTCAAACGATCACGATCAACATAAGATCCAACATTTAAAAATCACTGCTCCCATAATTTTAAAACCCACGCAAAAAAGAAATCATTTCATACCAAATGCATAAAATGCATCGCAGTATCAATTACATTTTCAAATTCTTGGTACGATCAATAAAAATAGGAAACAACCACAGCTAAAAATCAATTCCATTAACTTTTTTTATATTTGATAAAAAAATCCAATCGTTCGCATGTCACATTTTTAAAAGTAGCACTCATTCGAAAAACCAAGCCAAAAAATGCTATCGACCACCTTTCGCCATACAGTACATTATTTCAATTCTGTAAATTCGCAGTGCTTCAATCCTTCAGAAAAGTACCCCAACAGATGCGAAAATAAAGTACCCAGATAGGTAAAAAAGCGGTCGTTCTGCGGTTTTTTTTGCGACTCGTTTCCGTTTCGACTTTCGTGCTCTAAAATCACGCCGCGCACCGGAAACATCAACCCACAGACTGTCATCAAAAGCAGACTTTTTTCGAATGTCAGCGAAATTCAAGAAGATTACATAAATGTCCCGTACTTTTTTTCTTCTTCTTTATTTAATATTTAAAATGGAAATTATCGCGTGTATTTTTATTCATTTTTCACTTATAAATGAAGAGCGCCTCACTATAAACACCTGAAAACAAAAAAATGATGAAAATTGATTCAAATGTGTCAATTTCTCCTTCAGAGTTGTATGAGACTTGGCACTCATCAACGCGGTAATTCGGAAAATTGAGCAAGAAAATTTTCAAAGATTAAAGCAAAAGCAATTAAATTCGAACCCATAATTGAGGGGCCTGGATTACTGTACTGTCGAAGGTTCAGTATGCAAAAATCTGTCGACCAAAGGATTAAAAATAAAAATGGAATAACTGATTGGTTCCAACCCCTCGAAAATTCACCTGAAAGAATACCGGAAAGTTTTATGTAATATCCAAATGGTTTCAGATCCCCCGGAAATTTCCGTTTTAAGACGAAATAATTGTTAGAAACTCTAGAACAGATTTTTTCAGAAGGTTCAACTCAGGCAGGAGCATTGGATAATTTTCTTCTTGAAAACATGCTGTTGGCAAATTGTGGATTAATTTTTTTAATGCGCTCCTTTTTGAGCAAATGAGCAGTCAATTGTCCTGAACAGGGTCAACAATCCGAGACAAAAATGGGAAGCAGGGAATCAAGCTAAACAAAAATACTTTCAGACTGGTTTATCTGCGATATAAATGTACAGTACTGTATTTCCAATCAATAAGAAGTAACATTTATCGGCAACTAACGACATTCAGTTTAAGGTGTGGAAATTTATTTCAAATACTGTCCTGTACAGCTCAAGTCAAAATCCTAAGTCAGAGAGGGATATTCACACTTTTTTATCCTCAAATGCAAAAATGATTCACACTCAAATTTGCGCCTTATGCGACTCGAAAAATTTTCATTCGCGTTTCAAATTATTAATTTGCCTTTTTTATTATTATTAATCTAGGAATTTTTCGTGCGGGTCCCACGACTTTTCCGGAACCCTGACCCGGGGGTTCCGATGTTTCGCCGGCTTTCAGACGGCGAAGCAATTAGCAGACCTCTAATCTCCGCTACCAAACTTCGTTAAGCGCCAAGTTCCTGGAACTTGAGAGAACCTTGGGTTTCATTCAAGAAATGCGTCGACATGTAAACCCACGTAAAAATACACTGTTTTCTGCATTGATGCGAAGGGGCTCTAATTAATCATGGCGCGGAAAGAAAAGATCCCAATCCCACATTTACTCAAATATTGTACAGCATATACTGTACTTTATTTGAGAACTTTATTTGAGAATGTACATTTATTTGAGAATTATTTTTATTATTATTTATGAGAATTTATTTTATTTATGAGAATTATTTATATTTATGAGAATTATTTTTATTTTGAGAACTTTTATTTAAGAAACTTTATTTGCCTAGGACATATTCGCATTTCACAAAGACATTTGAACTGAATACGCCAGAAAATGCTTCAAAAATTTTTCTGAGCAAATAAGAAAGTTTGCAAATGTCCCTGATCGCCAATTCTTCACAAAATGACATGTAAAGCGTTCAAGCATCCGTGCTTTGCATTCATATTAGAAATTGATGACGTAACGTGTGGAAGTCAAATATTCAAATGAGTAATGACGCATACGTCCTTAACGTTGGTAAGAATCACATCCAACATTCTGTCGCAAATTTTTGGCAAGTAAATAAACTCACAATCAAAAGCATATTCTATTAGATAATTAGAATATTCCAAAATCTTATCGGCCTTTATACAGTGATTTTCAGAGCACTTGAGGAGCTTGAGAAACATTTCTCCACTTCTTTGTGATTTACCAAGAATTTTATTGGGAAATTTCCCCATCCGGCATGATGAGAAATAAAAATTAGCAATCAATTGTAAGATCACAGCAATTCTGTTGACATGAGATGACTTTTTAAAGCAGTTAGTCGTAGCCAATCACTTACCTAACGTCTGGTAATTTTTTATAGAATGCTCAAGCAATTTTCTTATACTGTACAGTAGAATTACATGAAGCTGGAAAAAAAATTGCGAGTTTTACAACTGCTGTATAAATCTCGAAGGTCGCACGGAATTAGGACAGCCCTGAGCAGGTACAGAACTGTATGTTGGTTTTTGTATCGTGACGGAATGCGGATGTGCATTACGGGTTGCATCCACGTGATGAGGGTCAGGTCAGGCGTGGCGGGCAAAAAGAACCCGGGACACGGGTGCCCCGTGCAAAACCCACGTCCTTGCACCTCGTGTATGCAAAATGCGGGCGTCAATATTCAAATCAGGGGCTCTTCCCGGGACCACGTCAATCCCCGCTCAGCGCCGGCAAAATCCGTTCTCCTTTCTAGTCGCAATTTCAACTCTTACATAGCCTAAACGCGATTTTGCAAAAAGGGGGGGGGCGCGCGCACTGTACTGACAATGCCAATCTAGTTCTTCCTGATTTAGCAAGAGATTTCATGAAGCTATTTTCTATGGTTTCTCGTTTGATTTTTTTCAAAAATGAAACAGGAGTACAGGTAGATTCTTTCTACAAAGATATCATCAAAAACGATTTTCTGTGTACAACAATATATTGTACAGTGAGACCCTGAGATGCGGACATAATTGGTACATCTAGAATGTCCCTAACTTGAAATGTCCCCAAGTCAAGTCTCATTTTCCCTTAGACTTAAATTACATAATTTTTAATTGGTGTTTTACGTACAAAATACTCACCAAAATTCCATGAAAATCAAAATTTTCCCCTAACTTAAACTGATTCAATCAATATATTGCAACACAAAATGGACATTTGAGGAATTGAATACTGATACCTCCATACAGTACATATAAATGTTGGCATTCTCTGAAAAAATAACATTCAAGTGAAAAAGAGAGAAGGAAGTCCCTCTATGCTGGAGGTAATTTTTTTAAATTGGCTAAATGGATGGTAAATTGGTGAGAGAAATGCCCAAGAACTTCTCTTACATCTATTTTAGGCTTGGAAATATCTGTTTCTTGTAATTTGGTCTGAAGTTTATTTGCAATTTTATCACAAAATGTCTGTATGTTGAGTCATTGTCCTCATGTTGGGCTTTTTTTTATTAATTTTTATGGGAAAATAAGTGTCCCTAAGTTGAATTATCCACAGGTCAAGGTGTCCGCATGTGGGGGTCTAACTGTATATGTATCTATATTTTTTTCCAAGTATGGTAGACCCATATTACAGGTGGAATCTTTCCACAACCTTCTTATCTACAACAATTTTTTTGGTAAAAAATTTTTTTTTAGTCACATAGGGTTCTTTTTCCAATGTTATAGGGGGTTCTCTAAAAAATAATTCTGCCTACAACGAATTTGTTTCTGGTCCCTTGAGTTTTCTACAACGAAATCCTTTCTACAATGATTTTTTATCGGTCCCTTGAATTCCGTTGCAGAGAAATTCCACCTTTATAGAGGTTCTCCACAGCAAAATTCTCCCGACAACGAATTTATTCTGGTCCCGTGGATTTCGTTGTAGAGAGTTCATGAGAACGATGTTTTTTTTTGGCCTAGAAAAGCAGTGGTTTACTCTTTACTTCTTCTCAGCCTAGCGCGTGTCTAGTCACGTCGCACTAAATAAAATACTGAATATGAATAGAGTAATAAATTTTCAGGGATTTTTGAGGAAATAAATACCCGGGTACATAATACAATCCTCAATCATAAATTACAATTCAAGGGTATCGTAAGTCGCGCAATGTATTTTCCTGATTTAGAAAATTCCAGCGCTTCGCATCAGACGTCGGAAGGGTGGGGGAAATTTTCGGGGCTTTGGATTGCACAATATTTTTCATGCCTCATACCTGCGATTTTTTTTTTTAGGTACACGACCTTTCCTCTCCCCCACGCTGAATATGTACCAAAAACACGACTCTGATACTGTACTTTCCGCTCGAGCAAAGCAGCAGGAACAGCGAGGGCAATTAAGCGCACGAGTTTTAGCAGGGGGGGTGAAAACCCAGGGGTTGGAGGGTAGGCGGGTTTTTCTCTTTTCTGCTTTTGTTACCAGATCAAGTAGAACCTATCCGGTCTGGTTGGGTTTTCCAGGGGAAGATAGATCATGCTGCAGAAGTTACATCACTGTTCACCATTGAGCATTTTTGTTTCCACACAAATCATGTCAAATGTCCCACAACAGACATCATTTGGCGTTTTGCAAGAAACAAATACTATTGAACATGCACACCATGCGGTCATTTTAAAATATAAATTGCATAATTCTTGGAAATCATACCCCTCCTCAAAATCGCAGTGCCACTGTAGCATCTCTGGATTCTTTACATATTAAAGGTTTTTCTGTCATATAAAGTAAAAGCCAATGAAGGTTAAGAGCTTCTGAATACATAAGTAGCTCATGTACAATCATAAATCATCATTAGTTCAGTTGAGTTGTTATCCAGATTTATTCCAGTTGCGGGAAGAGTTTGATGAGTTGTTTAATTGATTACTTGTGTGAAATACACTTTAGTCCATTAGCTCAGTAATTTTTAAAAGGAATTCCTGGTCCTGCCCTGGACTGATTATTTTATTGCTTGACATCTGTCCCCAATAAATACTGTACTGTACAGAAATAGCTTGTTACAAGCTTACAACAAAGCCATTGGAACCAGTAGAATACTGTAGGTTCAATGTAAAAATTAAAAAGTAAAAAACTGATTAGAAAGTAACGTATACAACATTGTGGCTATTGGACAGCGACATGAAAAAGACCTTTGATGTTATCAACAACTTTGAATTTCCTTATTTTGCTTTGAATCATTTCTTCAGTCCCTGTCTGGTTTCCCTTAAGAATAATGTAATTTAAACCTCTGCAGTCCAATGACTTCTCTGCTCTAACCTTTATAACTCAAATTTCTGGAGTCCTCAGGGCTATTCTTCTGGGACCCAAAAAAGAGAAGAGTGATGCAAATATAACTCACTGTTTTTCAAAATAAACGTGATTTAATAATTCAGCACCCTTCCCTCCTCTTCCCTGAACTTCAAAAAAAAAAAGTTGGAAATCTTCTTACCCGCCAATAAGGAAGCCCTTCCTTTTTTTCTTAATTTTGAAAATTAAAAAAATGTGCATGTTATGCAAATAAATTTGGGTATTGAACATTTCAATACAGGTGGTACCTTGCAATTTGACCCTAATCCATTGCTGAACTAGGATAAAATTGCAAATTGATCAAATTGCGCAATTTGACCCAAATCCATCGCTAAACTAGGGTCAAGTTACAAATTGGTCAAATTACAAGACACTCCATGAAATTCAAAAATACAAGTACAAAAACGCAAAATAAATGGCCAAAGCAGGTCAAATTGCAGGGCAAGAGTTGAATTGAAAGTCAACCTCACTGCAAATTTGACCATAAAATTACGGGAGGAAAAATTGCAAGGTACCACCGCATACANTACTGATACCTCCATACAGTACATATAAATGTTGGCATTCTCTGAAAAAATAACATTCAAGTGAAAAAGAGAGAAGGAAGTCCCTCTATGCTGGAGGTAATTTTTTTAAATTGGCTAAATGGATGGTAAATTGGTGAGAGAAATGCCCAAGAACTTCTCTTACATCTATTTTAGGCTTGGAAATATCTGTTTCTTGTAATTTGGTCTGAAGTTTATTTGCAATTTTATCACAAAATGTCTGTATGTTGAGTCATTGTCCTCATGTTGGGCTTTTTTTTATTAATTTTTATGGGAAAATAAGTGTCCCTAAGTTGAATTATCCACAGGTCAAGGTGTCCGCATGTGGGGGTCTAACTGTATATGTATCTATATTTTTTTCCAAGTATGGTAGACCCATATTACAGGTGGAATCTTTCCACAACCTTCTTATCTACAACAATTTTTTTGGTAAAAAAATTTTTTTTTAGTCACATAGGGTTCTTTTTCCAATGTTATAGGGGGTTCTCTAAAAAATAATTCTGCCTACAACGAATTTGTTTCTGGCCCCTTGAGTTTTCTACAACGAAATCCTTCCTACAATGATTTTTTTATTGGTCCCTTGAATTCCGTTGCAGAGAAATTCCACCTTTATAGAGGTTCTCCACAGCAAAATTCTCCCGACAACGAATTTATTCTGGTCCTGTGGATTTTGTTGTAGAGAGTTCATGAGTACGATGTTTTTTTTTTTTTTTTTGCCTAGAAAAGCAGTGGTTTACTCTTTACTTCTTCTCAGCCTAGCGCGTGTCTAGTCTTATCGCACTAAATAAAATACTGAATATGAATAGAGTAATACATTTTCAGGGATTTTTGAGGAAATAAATACACGGGTACATAAATACAATCCTCAATCATAAATTGCAATTCAAAGCTATCGCAAGTCACTCAATGTATTTTCCTGATTTAGAAAATTCCAGCGTTTTGCAGCAGACGTCGGAAGGGTGGGGGAAATTTTCGGGGCTTTGGATTGCACAATATTTTTCATGCCTCATACCTGCGATTTGTTTTTTATTTTTATAGGTACACGACCTTTCCTCTCCCCCACGCTGAATATGTACCAAAAACACGACTCTGATACTGTACTTTCCGCTCGAGCAAAGCAGCAGGAGCAGCGAGGGCAATTAAGCGCACGAGTTTTAGCAGGGGGGGTGAAAACCCAGGGGTTGGAGGGTAGGCGGGTTTTTCTCTTTTCTGCTTTTGTTACCAGATCAAGTAGAACCTATCCGGTCTGGTTGGGTTTTCCAGGGAAAGATAGATCATGCTGCAGAAGTTACATCGCTGTTCACCATTGAGCATTTTTGTTTCCCCACAAATTATGCCAAATGTCCCACGATAGACATCATTTGGCATTTTTCAAGAAACAAATACACCGTACGCACCATGCGTTAATTACAGTATAAAATATAAATTACATAAATATAAATTGGAAATCATACCCATCCTCAAAATCGCAGTGCCACTGTAGCATCTCTGGATTCTTTACATATTAAAGGTCTTTCTGTCATATGAAGTAAAAGCCAATGAAGGTTAAGAGCTTCTGAATACATAAGTAGCTCATAAATCATCATCAGTTCAGTTGAGTTATTATCCAGATTTATCCCAGTTGTGAGAAGAGCTTGCTGAGTTGTTTAATTGATTATTTGTGTGAAATACACTTTAGTCTATCAGCTTAGGAATTCCTAAAAGGAATTCCTGGTCCAGTCCTGGACAGATTATTGTGTTTTATTGCTCGACACCACCTCATATTGCAGTGAAAATCTGTCCCCAATAAATACTGTACTGTACTGTGATAGCTTTTTACAAGCTTACAACAAAGCCATTGGAACCAGTAGAATATTAGCTTCAATGTAAAAATAAAACTAAAAATAAAACGCATTAGAAAGTAACTTATACAAAGATTGTGGCTACTGGACAGGGACATGAATAAGACCTTTTGATGATATCAACAAATTTGAATTTCCTTATTGCGCTTTGAATCATTTCTTTAGACCCTGTCTGGTTTCCCTTAAGAATAATGCAATTTAAACCTCTGTAATCCAATGACTTCTCTGCTGTAACCTTTATACAGTAACTCAAATTTCTGGAGTTCTCAGGCTATTCTTCTGGGACCCAAAAAAGAGAAGAGCAATGCAAATGTAACTTACTGATTTTCAAAATAAACGTGATTTAATAATTGAGCACCCTTCCCTCCTCTTCCCTGAACTTAAAAAAAAAGTTGGAAATCTTCTTACCCGCCAATAAGGAAGCCCTTCCTTTTTTTCTTAATTTTGAAAATTAAAAAAATGTGCATGATACGCAAATAAATTTGGGTATTGAACATTTCAATACAGGTGGTACCTTCCAATTTGACCCTAATCCATTGCTGAACTAGGGTAAAATTGCAAATTGATCAAATTGCGCAATTTGACCCAAATCCATTGCTAAACTAGGGTCAAGTTACAAATTGGTCAAATTACAAGACACTCCATGAAATTCAAAAATACAAGTACAAAAACGCAAAATAAATGGCCAAAGCAGGTCAAATTGCAGGGCAAGAGTTGAATTGAAAGTCAACCTCACTGCAAATTTGACCATAAAATTACGGGAGGAAAAATTGCAAGGTACCACCGCATACAAATTTGTTTTCAAAAAACGGGATAAGGTTTCTGAATTTTAAAAAATTTATATACTGAATACCGGACAATTTCCAGAGGCGGACAAGTCACCCCCTCTCCCTGACTTCCCATATTTTTTGTTTCAACATGCACGAGTATGGAATAACCCCCCCCCCCCCCCCCCCCCCTCTCGTCTTTCTAGGCGAGTTGCAGCAAGGCACGTGGAGTAGTCAGTCAGGGGTTGGGGGAGGAGGGGGGGGGGAGGAGTGTTGCAGATTCGGGTCGTTTTGGCGAGGAAATTACTGGCCTGAGCCCGGGGACAGCGTTGTAATTAAGCGCGTAATGGCCGAGCAGGGGGAGGAGGCGAAAGGAATGGAAAACCCCGGGCGACTCCAGAGGAACTCGCCTGTTACCCCCGGGGTCTTTTCATTCCGATTTTCCCTCTTCTCCTTCTTCACTCCTGTGTTCCACATTTTCCTGAATGTAGATTTAATTTTACCTTTCGCTGCCAGGAGTACGATTCAATCAGGTGCGAGATCAGACAGGATTTGAACGTTGGGAAAAGGGGTATTTGTACAAGTGCGGGGTGGTCCCGACGTACGTACGGATGATTCGACTTAGGGACATTGGGAACTTTCAAAAAATCTGCCTAAACATTCAGACAATGTCTCCAGATACGGACACGGTGCCGCAATTTCTGGAAATGTGAATTTTTATTTTGATAACTCTTGAAATAATCGAGATATTTATACTCAAGAAAAATTCAAGACAAATCGTATGATAAAATTTCCTCGAATTCAAAATCCAAAATAGAATAATTTTGTGCCTTTCTTTTCAGGGTCTTGTCCATAATCTGAGCAGAGTAAAGCAAAACATGTGCTTGTTCATCGCTTTTTTTGGCTCATTTTCATGCCAAAAAATCTGAATCTGCGTGATTTTCTTGAGACCCCCACATGCGGACGCCTTGACCTGCAGACAATTCGACATAGGGACACTTATTTTCCCAGAAAAAATCAATAAATAATGCCCAACATGAGGACACTCACTCTACATAGGGACATTTTGTGATAAAATTGTGAATACATTTCAGGCCAAGTTACAAGAAACAGATATTTCCAACCCTAATATTGATGCAAGAAAAGTTCTTGGGTATTTATCTCACCAAATTACCATCCATTTAGCTAATTTAAAAAAATTACCTCCAGCATAGAGGGACTTCTACTTTCTTTTCACTTGAATGTTATTTTTGTAGATGCTACAGTGGCACTGCGATTTTGAGGATGGGTATGATTTCCAATTTATATTTATGTAATTTATATTTTATACTGTAATTAACGCATGGTGCGTACGGTGTATTTGCTCCAAATGTTCTTATTGAGTTGAACATGTATCCACTAATTCAAATTCAAGTTGCAAACAATTTTTTTCAGGGAATTCTGAAGAATATTTCTTCCACAAAACACCAATTGAAAATTATATAATGTAAATCTATGGGAAAACACGACTCAACTTAGGGACATTATTTCAACTTGGGGACACTCTTGATGCACCAATTACATCCACATCTTGGGGTCTCACTGTACTATTGTACAGTATATTGAAGTTAAGAAACAACCTTGTATTCAAATTTCCAGGGACTTTTTCAAATTTTTTGAAAAATAGGATAGCCAATTAAATAGTCCCATTGAATTCAACGTGATCCAACATGCGGACATGCTGGCAAAGGGAAAATGTCAAGAAAACAGCACGTCCTTATCTCGGGGCCCTACTAAATTAAACTCTACAAAGATGGCAATCGCAAAATAGCAAGTGATCAAAAATAGCACATTATCAAGCCCGAAAAAATGAACTTCAGCTTAAAAAAAAATAAACTAATGGATAAGTTGAAAACATTCGTAAAATTGCATCAACCACATTTCCTCCTCGATGGTCTCCTCCATTTCATTTAAATAAATTTCGTCTTCCTCATTCGCTGAAATCAAATTACTCTTCTTTTTTTTTCTTCTCCCGCGTGTTTGACCGCAATTTTTCTCGCTTTCTGAGCCCGTAGCAAAATAAGTAACTAACAAAACACACGGTACTGCCTTTGACTTGAAACGCAGGAAAGACATTCCAGTCGTTTGTTCCACGTTGACCGGGTTGAATAAGACGGATGAGTTTGTTTACACAAAAGCAACACGCCTAATTCATTCACCAGCAAAGAAATGCAAACACCGCTTGGCAAAGGAAACCTTGGTCGTGTTTTGTCTGACTGCGAAAAATCCATCGAACCTTGATCATTACCCATCATTTAAGAGAGAGCACACGACGGGTTTCATTCGGATTTTAAATACAGTACATTCTCAAAATCAGATGAAATTGATGTTATTTCACGATTTGCATTCTCACGTGTCTAGTTTCTGGTACAGTCTAAAAATTTAATTTTAACGCATTAATCCACGAAATAATTTGCTGTTAGCCGAGGAAATTTTCAGGCCTCGACAGAAAAATTTAAAGAATGCGGACCGATTTTCGAATATTTTTTAACAGTTGGACACAGATGTACTGTACATAAAAAAGGAATTTGAAAATATTCGTAGTTGAAAATTGAGAGTTTTTCAAGTAATTTGAATGCGACATAGAACCTTTTAATCACGAATTCTTGTTTTTAAAATTTCAACGAATTTGTCAATTTTTCCGCAATATAGCTGCAATGTTATTCAAGACCCGAAAGAACGAATTTTGTCACGACGTATGATTTTCCCATGTTTCAGTGATTTTTAGATTTTAAAACACTGTACTGTTGAAATCTGGTAATCTCGAAGAAACTCCCCTTTTCGTGTGTGAGAATAGATGATATTTCCCTTTCCTACAATGATAATCCTTTCTATTCTTGTTTTTCACAGTTGGCCTCAATTGGAGGCTTTTCAACACAGGGATTCGGCCAAGGCAATATTTAAAACGCATTCGCAAAAATATTCGGCTTTCCGCGTATTCCCTCCCTTCGTCATCCTCGAAGGAGTAACAAAATTATCACCCGAACGAATGAGGACTGGAGATTTTTTTCACTGGAGTCCTAGAAAAAAAAAGTGCTCCACAATTACGACGCAGTTTCCCGTGATCCACCGATTCGTGCACTCGGGCAATCCATTTTCGCATCATGAACGAATAAAAAGTTTGTAAGAGCCCGGAAAAAGCTAAAAATGGCATCTGGCATTAATTCGCTGGTCCTGCATCAGGAGATAATGAACCCGCCCTCAGGCTTCGAGCATAGAAAAAAAAATTCCCCTCAAATGTACACGGTTCAACAATGAAATCAAAAATTCAGAGAACTCGTACGGAAATCAGTTTCAAAATAAACTACACACTTCTTCAAAATCCTCATGGTTCCTGATCTTCAAAAAATTAATTAGCGCGAAAATACAATTGAACTTTGATAAACCGAACGTCCCTGCATAGAATTTTTTTTTTCAAATCTCTGCCTGAATTTCCTTAGACACAATGAATTACAAAACCTCCCTAATTCAAAGGCTTACTCCTGAAACCTCTATAACTCGAATTTTCTGGAGGCCTGTTTGGCGATTATTTTATTCACACAATTGAGAAACGCAAAAAAATGCAACTTGATTCGTTTCGAAAAGAATAGAAAGACTAACTAGGAAAATAAACCCTTGCCTCCTAGTTCTGAAATACTGATATATTTTCCCCAACCAAAATTCTCCTTCCTCTTTCCGAATTTTTTTTCTAGTCCCTTGAAGTTCTATACTCAATCTGGTTCGACTGCATCTTGAATTTCGTTTTTAAAAACTTGTTCACAAAAAATCAACTCGCAAAGCAACAAAAAAAATCCCCCTTCCTCGGTCACTCATTGATCATTCCACCGACATGAAATTCAAATTTAGAATAAAATAAGAGAGCAAGATAAAATTTGAATGCCACACCGTGTATATATATTCAAACGCGGACGGAGTAAGAGAGCACCGCCGATGATTTATGATCCCACCGGGAGATATGAAAACAACTCTTAATGACACTGCGCTGACACTTGTGAAGAATCTATAAAAATTGCAGCGGCAAAATAGAACACACATTGTCTCACGAATCAATTTCTCATCACGCTCGTTCATTAAATTCGATCAGTAGAAATATTCATCAATGATCTGCATCGCACTTTAAGACTCGGGAACAGCGAATGAATCACTGATGAACCATTCTTCCCGAAAAATTCCTGGGCATCGAGAAAGTTTCCTTTTCAAAGGAAGAATTTTCAAAAATGTGTCCATAACAAATCACGAAGGTGTCACTGTCAGACAAAATAGAATTCCTGGTAGCGAATGAATATTTCCACAGTATCAAACAAAAGTTGATCGAATTCTTCTTATTCTACGTTTCATGCATTTCTGTGTGTTTGTTTCACGCATGATTTAAAATTAAATACCTGAACAATCGCAATGTTTTCAACACCCTCGGAGAAAATAAATGAACATCAACAGACGCAAGAAGGAAGTTTGCCAAAATCTCCGAACTGTTTCGCTTGATACAATATATTTTTGCATCACGGGTACGGAGAACTGAAATCGACGCGGAAATTTCCAAATTCAACCGATTCCATTATCCTCGAGGCTGAAATGATTTCTGAATTTCCGTCAGTAAATAAATAAAAGCGAAAGAGAGGTGCATTGATTAATGATAACATCGAGCTTGGCTGGCATTCGCGAAAAAGAAGGGGGAAGGAAAATATTTTCGGAGCGGAGAAGCTGGAGCAGCCTAATGACCCGAACTCGGTCTGCCATCAACGTCAACGGAAAAAGAAATATGACGTCAAACCCGATGCCAGGATTTGCGCTCGACCAAAATTTATTCCGCCTACCGACGGACGCCGATCAAAGATATATTTCCGACTGAATTTTATCAACGTTCCCGGGAAAATATCATTCATCTTTCCTGGCCTTCAAACGCAAGCGTACAGATCTGAAGAACAACGCGGGTTTTACGGAAAACGATGTCTTGCATCCCAGGAAGTTTCTATAAGTCGGATAAGGCAACAGATAGCAACACGAACAATCAACCGATTTCATAGGAAAATTGAATTTTAAATTCCGTAAGTAACAAACGAAAATATTTGCTTTCATTCTCATCGCAGAATCAAGTAACATTTACGGGTCAATCAACAATACTAGATGATGCCGAGTTCCAACTCACCTCGACTGAATGAACGATGGATAGCCAACTGCGTTCGTTCCCGACACTTTTATTGTTTTTGCAAATAGTCCCAGGGTCACTGAGCACACCAAAAATTTGATAACACGGCAAAATATGCCTTCAGCTCGGATTCGAAGCCGAGTCCGCTTCGCGATGATGTTCCGCCATAATCTCTGCGATCGTAATCCCAAGAAGAAGAAACGTATGAATTTCGCTCATTCACTAGAAGATAAGTCGATACAACAAAAGAAAAGAATGGTCAAATCCCTGAATCGTTATGATCACCGAACAATTGGAAACCCCTGAACGACACGTTTATGAGAACAAAAGCCCCTGAGTAAAACTTGATAATATACTTATCATTCGAAAACATTATCCACTGTGAACTGCATATCAGTGACAGAAAACTTAATTGAATATTACGCTTAAAATCCGTTTCTAACTCAGCTTCTCCACTGTGTACGTTTTCAAATTTCAACGGTACACTATACATGTTATCAATAAAAACCCCTGCATCGCAACACGCAGGTCAAAAGCTCTCTACTTCTTTAACACGAACAAATATTGATCAACACAAAGTCTGAACTTTAATTTCTAAGGATAAATTTGTTGATCAAAATCAGAATCACGTGTAACCACGCGAAAACCACCTGATCAGCATTGCCCCTGGGCGCTTACACATGGAGGCGGCCATCCCTTTTCGGCTCTTCGATTGTAACAAAGCTGCAAATAGGCGCCAAAATCAGAACCCATGTGCTTCACTACTAGAGACATCTGCCGATTGACTTCGCGATGTATTAAATATGTGATGCTCCCGGAATGTCGCTGTTACGCTGCAGAGCACTGCAAATTAGGTATTGATGGACCCCTGTTCCAAACAGATAACTCGAAGGCTTGATGTCAACTTTAAAATATTATGTAGGTGTCGCTTGTATTCAAAGAAAACAGTCCACAAAAAATTTTACCATCATCTCAGGTCACCTGCCAAAGACTACATGCCTCGGCATCAGTTGATCAGATCCCATGCTCTTTCATAATTACCCATTTGCCATTTATTTTCAAATTGCTTATCTATTGACATTAAATACTGTATTGGTCATTGTCCAATGCAATGAGTTGTTTCTCCGATCTGTGATTAACTGCGTCCCAAAACATTGAATTGAACTGATTTTCTCGGCAGTTTTATGCTTAAATTCAAATTTTGTATGATATAATATATTGCCCTTTGTGGAGCCTATGAATGATTTTTTCGTGTGGTACAATATACCAAAAGGGCAATTCTATTCATGCTTCCATCATGTTCTTTTTATTTCCTTATAACAAATTATTTTTTATTATTTTAAGACAGGTTTTTTTCTGTTCTCTAGCACAGCTTTTTGTAAAAAAAAAATTACTATGAAAAAGTTCTCCTTTTCCAAGTTTCCCTTGTGGGATTCAACTTCGAGTAAAAGTACATTTTACTTAGGGAAATATTCTCCCTCAAAAAGAGAGTAACCCGAGTACTAGATAACAGTAGCACGCGGAAAGGGCACGTAAGAAGAGAATAAAATTTGAATGAAATGCAATAATATGATAAAAATAAGTTTAAAAAAAAAGAAGAGGGGCGATACAGTTTCCCTGGCAGCAATAACAGCTGGTACGTGAGTCGCGACACGCGCGTCCTCGACAGTACATATCAAGGGCTTCTCAAAAGTTCTGCATGCCATCAAGTATAAGCGTATCTACATGCCATAACATTTTCGTTTTTTTTTAATTTTCATCTTGTAAAAAATTCGAAGTTCAGACATAGAATCGTGGAATTGTTTGATGAACCAAACTGTAATTGTCACTACCACACGTAGAATAAAAAATAAACTAAAAGTATATACGGTATGCATTTTTAAATTTTTTGGGTGAAGGGATCTTGCAATTTGAGAAGAAAATTATCCCAAGAAAAATTACTAAAACTGCTCCAGGGTCTCTTCGGAAGATGAATTTTTCGTCTCTAAATCTTTTAATCCAAAGTTTCCATTTGTGATGACCTTCATTTCAAAATTTTAATTTTTCTGCAAAAAATTTTAAATCTCTCATTGGGAAAAGTCACGAGATCTGAGGCTTTATTCCTGATTAATCGTTCATTCTATTTTTCAATCACCGTACTTGAGTATACATCATGTGATGATCAAGAAACTCTCGGAAAATAAATTTCAGAGCATGTATTTTTTATTTTGCAGAAAATCCTCTCGTGCAATAAATACAAATTTGTATGTAATTTAGGCACGAATTCATTTAATAGATCTAAATTATGATGTTGGAAAGGGAAAGCTTTGTTTCTTTGGATTTTAGAGCCGATTTCGGAAATAATTCGGGAACTTTTTGAGTACCCCCATGATGCATATCCAATGGATCCATCAATCACCCGTTGTTCTGGTGTCATTCGAGAAGATCTAAGCGTTGTCCTGTTTCCGGTTTACTTTTCTGTTCAATTTTTTTTTTCTTTTTTGTGAGATGAAAACGGACGACTTTTGCAGCCTCCGAATTCCCCGACGACGTCGACATCCGCCCCATCAAACGATTTATTCATCCGGAGAGGTTTATATTTTTTGGTCGAATAATTCTTTCCCTAAATTATATTTTTTTATGATTATCCAGTCTCTATTTTTTCTGTTTCAAGTTTGTTCTTCTTGTTTTTTTTACATCAGGGAATTCCTGCAGCAGTGAGACAAGGGCCTACGTGACTGACAATCCGTCTCCAGAGGCGTTGCTTTATTTGCTTCATTATTATTATTATTAATGTCGCCATCTTTAATTGTTTTATTATTATTAATTCAAATGGAAATCATCTGGACCTGCACAGTGGGTGTTGAGGAGAAAACAAGGGAGGAAACCAATGAAGGTTTCCTCCTCAATCAAAAGTACAAATAATTTGATTTTAAGAGTCTCTTATCCTTTTATTCCTGGTGATTTGTGTGCACAAATCTGTTACTCCTGTGCTATTATTCAAATCCGTCTTTTGCATTGTATTCTCATTCTTTGCATTCAACTTGATCATAAAATAAATTATTGAAAAACTAGGAACATATACCGTATTCACGGAAACCCCTTGAATATGTGTTCTTGGCTTTCAAAAGGCTGATTCCCTGCATTTTTATTTCTATTATTTTGTGATCCTTGATCACAGTGGGTGTGATTTCTGCTGAAGTTAGGTACTGTACATTTGAAAGGCATCATGTCAATCAATCTTTATAATAATGCAATTTGTGATATGGTTTCCGGCGAGTCGAATATATCTCAAATAAATTTGATAAAGGGTTTGTTCCACCTTTAATTTCAGTATTTTTGCGTCGTTTGCAGGAAGTTAATTACAGTACACTCGTGCAATGACACAAACTACCATAATAAGCTTTTTCTTGGAGCAAGGTTTGTATAAAAGATTGAATCGTGGATCGGATAGAAAATTGGGGTGAACTTCTATCATATAAGCAGACCCGTTTCAAATTATCTAAAGTAATTAGCAGTCAAGTCCTCTTGTACGTCGTAACCTGAAATTTAAATTTGGTTTATTCATCATGATGTGGCTACTTTGTTCGAGTCAACAATGTGGCATTTCAAGTTCAATGGGATCTAATTATGCTGTGTTTATTTTCGAAATCGATCCCATCAAGGCGCCGGCAAAAATTAACTTCCCTGGATAAACTTCAGCCTGAATGGACAGAAATATTCTGCAACTCAAAAGTTCCACAGCTGAATTTTCAAAAAAAAATGTTCACGTAATTGAATGTAAAAAAAAGTGTTCTTACAAAGAAATGTTGCATTTCTTTATACAGTATTTAAATTGGTGAATTTACAAAAATTTCAGGGTTTGAATGCTGCCAATTTTAATTTTGGCTGAAAATTTCACCAGCTGTTTATTATCTGCTAATTATCTGATGCATCAAGAGTGTCCTGATGTTGGAATGTCCCTAAGTTGAGTCTCATTTTCTCATGGACTTCAATGCTAATGTATTCAATTGGTTCTCCTTTTTGCCAAAAATTAGAAATAAGTCCTCAAAAATTTTTGATAAAAAATGTTTTCCCCAACTTCAAGTTGTAGGAAACAACAGTGCTGAAGAAAACAACATAGAATCTGATCTTTTTGCATAAAAGGAGATCAAAAAGCAAAGAAAAAAAAAAGTCTTGATAGAATATGCACAGATGCTAGAAAAACTTTGGAAAAAGAAACACAAAATCAGCTTGCTTCTGATTATGAATTAGAGTGAATTTATCATTAAATTTTTGTGAATATAAATAGCTTGAATTGTTCAAAAGATATCAGAATTAAAAATAAAATGTTTAGACTTTTGGGAAAATTTCAGAAAAGTGTCTGAATGTTGGGCCTGATTTTTTGTTGTTTTTTTCAAGTGTGCCTAAGTCAAATTGTTCATATGTCAGAGGGTGTAATTTGAATTTATTTTGTTTCAGAGTGAAAAAAATGAATGGTGCTGAAATGTCAATTTGCCTTATTATATTTCTATTTTGTGGAGCTGCTACAGTGATGCAGAATTTCTCAAGTGCAAAAACTGGTCAAATTTTAGCACCAACCCCATCTGATCCAACAGTTTTATCAAAGTGCTGTTCTGATCTCTTGAAAGCAGAAGAGGAATCTTTGCCTTCATCCCTGGAAATTCTGGTGGTCTCTGTCAACAACGTATTGATGCAGTTTCCTGACAAGCAATTTCCCAAATGGACAACTCCGATTTCTTTGATTACAATTCCTGGCAATCAGACTTTCAGTGTCGACAATGCAGAGAAACAACTCGTCAACTTTTCCGACATGATTTATTATCACTACAAACTCAGAACGCAAAGAGTCAAACAACTTTTGGTCATTTTCGACGAGCCCGAGACTCTGCTCAGGATTCTCTCCAGTCGCCAAAACCATCCGCAATTAATGCGCTCTTATTGGCACAGCTTTTCGAGGGTCATTTTCGTTTTTCAGAAAGTGACCGATAATTGGTTCATACAGCAGGAAACAGACGTCGTAGAAACATTAATGAGCCTAGTGTCAAAGAATCTCGACTCGCATAATCAGTTGTACCTGATTCGCAGCGATGATGAAACATTTTGCGATTGGGTCTTCTTGGATTTGCACAAGTCCGGAGGCAAAATGTTCGATGCCACGAGGGTCAGGACATTTTTGCGAACTAGCCAGCAC